GGGCAGGGGGATGGGCAGGGACCCCCCCAGCGCAGGTGCCCAGCACTGGTTTCCCAACCCCTTTCCGGGGCCGCTGGCAGAAAGTGAGCGTGAGCTCACAGCATCTATTTGGCTTTCATTAAAAATGAGCATTTATTTTAATTTCCTGGGAAATCAATCCTCCCCTGAACAAACAGCTTTAATTACAGCCTGACTCAGCTGCAGGGCAGAGCAGTTTGCCATCTGCCTCCAGCGGGATCCCTCCTTGCCGGCACTTGTCCCTCCTTGTCACCGGCAGTACCAGTCAGCCGGAGCTTTGCCAGCCAGTGGGGATGGGCTCCGGGGAAAAATATGGGGGGGAAAAAAAGCTGTGACCAGGGAGAAAGTCCCCGGGAGGCTGCGCAGAGAGGGCTCCCGTCCCCCACTGCCACCCCAGTGGTGGCACCGATGGGGACAGGGAAGCGCGGGGTGAGGGGAAACCTGTTACTGGCAGAGCAGGGAGGGGAAGGGGAGCAAGTGAGGTCCCAAATTCAGGTGGTTTTGCTCAAGAGCAGGTTGGTCTTGCTGCAATCCCTGCCTCGGTGTTTGAGGCCATGCTGGAAACTCTTGTGCATTCACCGATCCAAAAAGCAGGAGCGGTGCTTGGCCAACGCGCCCGTGTTCCTCGCTCTCCCCTACCCCTGCAGCCAGCCAGCAGCAGGCACTGGCAGAGCATCTCCTGCCCTCCTCTTAGGACTTTTTGGGGTGTTCAGGACTCTTTGGAGTCATCTTTGGGGTGTCCCTGCATGCTTTAGGCAGGGCATCTTCCCCTATAGTGGCCACCTCCTCCCACCCTGCCCCAGCCTCTTCCCGGGAGGCAGCAGCGTGCCGGAAGGGAGCGGGATCCCTCGGTATGAAAAGCATGGTACCCTGACGTGCCTTGGCCGGTTCTTGCTGCAGACAACCGCTGCATGGACAGGAGGTTTCTCCCTACCCACGCCAAGCAGCTGGTGGCCCTGGCCAGCTTCCCCGGCGCCGGCAATACCTGGGCACGCCACCTGATCGAGCTGGCCACCGGCTTCTACACCGGCAGCTACTACTTTGATGGGTCTCTCTACAACAAAGGTGAGCAGGGTTGGGTGGGGGGGATCGCTGCCGGGGGTGCACAGGTCCCACCTGAATCGGGAGAAGGTCCCGGTGCCGTCCCTTGGGTCTGCGGGGAGGGGAGGGCAGAGCTAGGCAGCACCGATGCTGCCCTGTGGGATGGTTTGCGCTGGATGTGTCCTGGTTCAAAGGGTATTGAGGGACCCAGCACCGTGTGTGCCCAGCCCGAAACCTCCCCGTGCTGCCCACTAACCTTGGCCAGGACTGCTTTGGCACAGAACTGGGGTTTCTCCATCACGCTGGTGGCTTTTAACCCGCCGTGGGGGTTGGAATTTTCTAGAGGAGGAATCGGCGCAGCTCTGACCCTGGCAAACGAGGCAATTCCTGCATTTTTTTGCCCAAGGAAAAGGGCTTTGTAATCAGATTTCCCCGGGAGCTGGTGTTCGCGGGCTTGGCGCTCTCATCCCGGGATGCAGAAAGGGCAAAGCAAATGGAAGGCACGGCTGTGTGACGAGAAGGGCTCGGGTCGCCCCCCCAGCTTCAGGATTTGGGAGCGGGTGGTGCTGGTGGAACCAGTGGCCTGGAGGACAAATGTCCCCACAGGGCTCCCAAGTAGCTGCAGATAAAAATAGTGACATCAGGGCACCCGGGGAACACCAACACCCAAATGGATGAATATTTATGGTGCCAAAAAGTGCTGATGAGCTCATGGGCTGGGGCGGGGGGAGTGGAGGAGGGAGCTGATCTCATTTGCCTGTTCTCGGGCTGAAGGATTTGGTGGAGATCCATCCCCAGCAACACAGATGAGGGATTTAAAAGCAGGATCAATGAGGTGCTTAGGGACAGGGTTTAGTGGTGGGATGGCAGGGTTAGGGGAACGGTTGGACTTGATGATCTTAAAGGTCTTTTCCATCCAAAGTGATTCTATGATTCGATTCTATGATTCTATGATTCTATTTGCCCAGTAAATATTTAACAGAGGCGGGATGCTGTCACCAGTTCCACCCAGTAACCCACCATATTGCAAGGGGGAGGGAAAAGACCAGGTCCCCCATTTTACAGCCGTTTACAACAGTTTTATTCATAGACCTTGAAGGTTTCTCCTGCTTTTCCTTTTGCGGCTCTGATTGGAAATCCTCCTTCCCTCCTCAGCCGCAGCGGCGCTGGGTTCTGTACCTGGGGTACCCACATGGTAGGGTCCGTACCCCGGTACCCGCACAGCCGACCGAGGTCTGTACCCAGGGCACCCCCTAAAGCCCCGCTTGCCCAACACCATAGGCAGCAATGCACTTTTCTTCAAGATTTGCCAAATTCAGGCTTTTGGAGATGGAAGATGCTCTGCGCTGAGCAAGGGAGCCCGGACTATATCAGCCCCCAGCGCTGGCACCCACCCGGGATGCAGGCAGCATCGCGTGCCCCACCGAGGGGGGCATCACTGGGAGAAAGCCTTGGCGAGGTTTTGCTCATCCGACTGTGAGCGGGTTTCGGGTTTATTCCAGGCTGAGCGCGTCGGAGGGCCCGGAGGTATCCAGGCAACTGGCAGATTAGCCACCCCGGCCCCGCGTCGCACTGCATGGCTGCTGAAAGCAAATTACACCTCCATAATTGATGTAACACAGCTACTTATCTCCCCCCCGCCCCCCTCAGCTCCCCACCCACGGTTCCCGGGTAGTTAGCATTGCACTTGGCAGGGGCTGGGGGTGCAAAGGGGGTGGGAGCGATGCCAGGGGACACGGGGGGACGGCGGTCCCCTCTCCGGACCCCCCATGGCATCGCTGTAGCCCCTGGGCTCATCTGCAGCCCCGCGACCGTAGGGGTTTTTTTTACCCTTCTTAATTTATTGGGGGGGTTAAATGTTGCACCCAGGGAGATTATTGCTATAAAACCACGTTCTTAGCCCAGCGGTATGAGCGCACAGTACGTTAACGTGGTGTGTGGTTATTTCACACCGGGGTGCTTTGCCCTGGGGCTGTGCCCTGGGGCTGATCATAGAATCATAGAATGTTTTGGGTTGGAAGGGACCCCTAGAGGTCATCTAGTCCAACCTCCCGAATGGAGACATCTCACTGAGAAGAGAGGAGCCCGGCCGGGGAGGAGGCAGCCCTGCTCGGCCCTTGCGCCCGCTACCCGACCTCTCGCGCATGAATTTTACATCAGGGCTCGACTCCTCACTCAGGCAAATACACCATTTCCATCAGGGAGAGGGATGCAAATTCTCCTTCAGGCCCCAGCTGCTTTGATCCAAACGTATTTTGCAACCTGACTATCCCCCCCCCGTGTCATCCTCTTTCCCCTAGCTCACTTTTTATTATTTTTATTAATGTCGGCACCGGCTGCTTCTCAGGCACCCGCTTGCTCTGTCCCGGCAGGGTTCAAGGGCGAGAGGGACCACTGGCGAAGCGGGAGGACGATTTGCATCAAAACCCACGAGAGTGGCCAGAAGGAGATCGAGTCCTTCGATTCGGCCATCCTCCTCATCCGAAACCCCTACAAGGCTCTGATGGCTGAGTTCAACCGCAAATACGGGGGGCACATCGGCTTCGCAGCTCACGCCCATTGGAAGGGCAAAGGTAGGGTAGCGGGCTTGGGTGCCCCAGCCCCGCTCCCACAGGACCTGGGTGGGCAAGATCCAGCCCAGCCCCCAGAGCTATAAAGCTCAGCAGAGCCCAAGTCTGGTCCCTCCATGGGGGAAACCTGGGCTCTGTCACCCCCATGGGGTCCCCACGTCTGTCTCCTGGCATGACCCACATCTGTCTCTTGGCATGACCCACAGCATCACCTGGCATGGCCGAGGGCTCCCGCGTGGGTGGCATGGGATGGGGTAGGGAAGTGAAGGTGCTCGGCTGTTGGGTGCCGTGCTGGGTCACAGGGCAGCAGCAGAGAGGTGGCTTTGTCTGGGGACACGGGACATGGGACTGACAGCAGCCTGGTGCCAGTGGGGAGGGAATGGCTCGAGTGGGCAGGAGCCCAGGGACCCAAACTGCTGCTTCTTTGGAGCAGCTCGTTGAGGCCAACGGCAGCCGAACACCTGGTAGCTGGTGGAGAGCAAGGAGAGGTTAAAAAAAAATAACAGGACCCATCAGACATCCATCAATGGTCTGAAGTTGCGCCAGAGCAGCTTTAGGTTGGACATTGGGAAAAATTTCTTCACCGAAAGGGTTGTCAGGCTCTGGAAGGGGCTGCCCAGGGAGGTGGTCGAGTCCCCATCCCTGGGGTTATTTAAAAGCAGGACAGATGAGGGGCTTAGGGCCAGGGTTTAGTGGTGGGATGGCAGGGGTAGGGGAACGGTTGGGCTTGATGATCTTAAAGGGCTTTTCCAACCTAGACGATTGTATGATTCTATGATTCTATGATCCCCATCCATCACCTGGTGGGCCTGTGTGTCGGTGCGGGGCAGCAGCATCTCCATGCTGCCACCGAAGCCGGGTCCCGGTGGGACCACCCTGCCCAGGGCCGGTGTCGGGAGGGGACGGGCAGCTCCGCTCCGGCTCTGCCTTCCCAGTGCCATCTCCCAGGCACCTGAGGTTCTAATTAGCAGGAGGAAGGAGATCTCCAAGCCCCAGTTATCCGTCCTTCCCCAAGGCAGAGGCGCAGGAGAACGGACCCAGCCGATGCTGGTGCCATGGCTGGGCTTCCTCTCAGCAGCTGAGTTTCCCGAGACCTCCCCTGGAGCCCTGCACCCAGCTCTGGAGCCCTCAGCAGAAGGAGGACACGGACCTGTTGGCACGGGGCCAGAGGAGGGCTACTAAAATGATCCAAGGGGCTACTAAAA